TTAAAATGACATCAGTAACCCCAGCTTTGACTATTTTCATTATTCCTGTGAGTTAATGTATTTAAATAAGTCATTTTCTCTGTTTAATGGTTTGAGGCAATCGGAAGCAAGTTTTAGATCAGACTTAATAATTGTTGGCATCTGCCAGAGACGTGCATCTGCAACCTCTATGGAACTGATATTCTCTCAGAAATGCAAACCTGAATCAACCAGTCCAACATTTAGAGGCGCTGCTATTGAGCTATTTAGGTCGCAACTGACCTTATATAGAACTGGAATGGATATATTGGTTGGTCACTTGGATGTAATCAATTTCATGTTATCTGGTCTATCGATCATTCTGCAGTGTGATCTCCAAGCTAAAAGACATCTCAGTGGATTTGGGATTGATTCTAGTTGATTAGAGGTGATCGACAGAAAACCTTGTCTCCGAAACAGTTGAACAAAGTCTGACAGGCAAACATTTTATCTAACCGCGTTTATATGGCTATTTGCCTGATTTGTCATCACACCCACATCTATCCATAGGATTATGCATGAGATTTAGGAAGTGATATGTTTCTTGGTTATCATGCAGTTATTATAAATTGCTGCAACGTTATTCTGTTTTATTATCACTCTTGTACAGAAGGTGAAGGTATGCAGTGGGGAAAGTTAAAACTGGGTGTTATGTTCTAGTTAAAACGAATATTACAGTCAATGAATCTTTTAACTTGAATTAACTGTGAATTGAATTGATCACTTGTAGATATGCTCAATGAATGACTTAACCAACTTATGGAGCCAAAAGAAAATCTGTTAGAGAAGAGCCAAGAGTGATCAGATAGAAGTATTTTTCGAAACCTTGAAGATGTTATGTGTATCTAATTTGACCGTGTTCTTACCAAAGTTTTGTCGACTTGTTAGTGTATGAGAATTCTACTGCCAATTCACTCAATCTATGGGTCGATAAATAATCAGGGAAATTAAGATAAGCAGGGAAGAATAACTTCAGTAAAACTCTGAAAGTTGAAATAAGTTGTCACATGGTTGATGGTATACATAATAAAAATGAGGGAGAAGAATAATTTCGTGTAAAATGGTCAACTGTTGACAATTATAGTGCAACAATAATACAAAGAGAGAAGAAAACAAATAAGGGTGTAACCATAGTAAATAATAATAGGGTTAGTTTGTACATTGAATGGGAGAAAACGTTAACTTCACACAAATATGCTGTATGTATGGCCAAAGGTAAAATAAAGCTCTGTGAATTCGCTTTTGACTCACACGAGCTTAACTTATTCATCTAAGTGCTTATAACTTTTAATATACTTCGGCTGACTAACTCTCAAGGTATAAATAAGATTAGATTAGGGGCAGCAAATAACTGTAAAGGTGTTGTTAATACCAGCTTGATATCAAGTACCAAGAAGATATGAAAGTATGTAGTGCCACACTGATCATTGTCTATTTATTTGCAGTACCATGATGGGTGATAAAACGTCTACGTTTTCCGGCACTGATTACAGCCAATCGATAAGTGACTGTAGACGAAGTGACTTCTGAGCAGATGCCTCGATATTCAGAGTTATTTTAGTCTGATAGAATGAATAGATGGTGGCCAAGGGTGAAATCCAATAAATGCTTTTCACCCTATTTACGGGCCCAATACCAGTAGTGGACGATACATTTGGTCTGTTCAATGGTGCAAATCTACAAGCCTAACATAAAACCATACTTGTAGTAGAAGCAATGAGTATCCTAATTTGGTAACCTACTGGTGTTTGAAATGATATGTGTTGTTGAAGTCTAAAGGGAAACAAAAACATTCACTAGGTGGCAGATGCATCCAGCTGATCAGTCCTAAATTTTGGGTTCCAATACTAACCACTAACCATCATTACAACTACGATGGATCATGCTATGAAATTTGATGATAAAATAGCCTGGTCGTTTTCGCCATATAACGGCCTCCATAGAAACAGCTGAACTGATGAGTATACATATAACAAGAGAAATCGGATTGAACTGAAAGTTAGTTTGTACTTATTTGTCGGTTTTCCGTAGTCATACCTTCCCATGCTTCTACATTTTTGACCTTTTCTCCGCATTGTTTTCATCCGTCTTTTTCATCGGTAAGTTTTGAAGGTTTGTTTTTCGTTTGGTTAGTTTACTTGTTAGTACAATGAACTCATAACTCCTCAATCCAAATTATTATTTCATTTTACGCTTAACAGATCCCTCTCTTTTCCCATAGTAGCTCCAAGGTTGCAAGTTATTACTATCTAATTATAGTTTACTTCACTGTGTCTTTGCCAACGAGATCTCACTGATGACGTGTTACTGTTTTAGAGTTCTGAAGTCTAGCTACCACCGTTTTAGATTTTATACTGTGGTTCTTAGTTGTAAAGAGGCAATAAAAGCTTTCTTATCAAAGTTGTCAAGGAATTAATAATCCTTTATTAGTGAATGCATTTTACCTGTTACAATGGTTCATAAAATTCATTTATTTTTATCCTTGAATACTTACTCATTGCTACTTATCTGTTTATTGTTCTAACACTGATTTCTTTCATAAAGCTCGATTTCGGTATTCTCTACTTTAGATGACATTTTGTTTATACAGTGCTGAATCGTGTGAACGGATATTCAATTATGTGGTTTCCCATATTATTCTGTAAACCCGCTTATCTTAATATAGGATATTATCGATATGCAAAACGATTTTGCAAATTACATGGTCTACGTTGATATTTTTCACAGCTGAGTAGTTTTTTTCAACCGCCCAACTATTTCATGACCCTTTATGTGTGTGTGTGTGTGTGTGTGTGTGTGTGATTTTCAGCGGAAACTCTGCTAACACCGCAGTTGAACAGTTGAAGAAAGTACTCAGCTGTGAGTAGTGTGAACGTGAACTGTACAGTTTGTGAATCATTTGGGAATAAATCTTTCTATTTTAGGTATACCGGTTCGTGTAAGTAAGCTAGCCGAATTCAAATGACCTGAACTAATTCTGTTGTATGAGCTCGGCTCCAAAACGAGCGATACAGCCCTATGGTGTTTAAATCACTCTGGTCTGGCTGCCGAAACACTATAGAGCAGCCTGACTGGTCTTTAACTACTCAAGTTGTTCAGTAGTATATTTTTCCTGTCTATCTGCTTTTACAAAAACGTCTGCCTAGGAACTTCGCTTGTAAGCACCAGACATCTTTTCATATCAAGCTATTATAAAGACCATAGTTACAGTAAATTTGAGAATCGTTTAATGACATAAAGGACCTTCGCAAAAAGAACAAAATGTACAAGAAGGGTATTTATTTATTTTCTATTATGCTGGGCATAGGCTTAACAAGGAAAGCATACTTCATAAAAATGTTACGTCACACAACCCAATAATTTGTTTATTTCATATTCGCTTAAAAAAACAATCAACCTAAATTATTTGACCTAGTTATGACTGACAGTATCTACCATAACTTAGAACTCTATCAAGACTAGGTTTATGATGGCCAATGTTAGTAGTCTTCTAAAAGTCCTATTTGGCCATAGCTTTATTCTTATTGAAGGTTATGAGCAATATATGTCTGTATCTTAGATGAAAAATATTTTCCCGCTGTGATATGAATCTGTGTCAAGTAGAGTGAAAGTCAAAAACTTTAACACTGATTTATTCAACCCATGACTGACTTCATCCAGGAATTTATTGTGTGTGAATTGCAGACCAGATAATACGTGATTTAGCTGTCCAGTTCAAAGTTTGTCGACCTATCAATTAATAGTATGACCTTTAATTTCAAAGCATTCGGTTATTCTTTGTTAAAGAAGTGAGTGAGTAGAAAGGACATTTTCCACCCATGCTAGATTTCTAAAAGCAGTCACTTTATGAATGATGTAATAATTTATCAATTCATCCATGAAACTGTACTTAATGTAACAATAAATAATCAAAGCCAGCATGAAACATATATTTCTCCATTAGGCTATGAGCCACAGCTATTGTATTAGGGCTTATGATACTACCCTTTCGCTCAGGCTGGTTAGGTGGAGCAAGATTAGAAGCCCAAACCCATCGGCTGAAAATTAAATGAGTTAATCGGTCGAATATTCACTTTTGTGTACTACCACGGTCCCTGCCCTGCTCTGTAAAGTTTGCATTTATTCTGACAGTGCTACGGATGCTATAATATGTATTCTTTTGCCAGTTATTCTCACTCTCTCGTCTTTTCATTACTTATATATATATATATATATATATATATATATATATATATATATATATATATATTGCTTATCATTGTCTCTCTCTCTTCCTCTTTTTCAATTTGAACCAGCAAAGAAGTTGAATCTCAGATGGTTTTAGAACTTGGTTTAGGCTTTTTGGACCGAATATCCAATGCAAAAAATGGTGCGTTTTCACATTTAGAGGATTTAGCCGATCGACTGAATCACTTTTTCAGTTGTGCTATTATCCTAATGCTTTCTGGTGTCACAATGGCAAATGTCTACTTTTTGAGACCAATCGCATGTACATTACCAACAGCACCGGAGAATAAGTTCAACGAATTTGCGGAATCCGTATGTTGGGTACGTGGTACAATCGCTTTACGAGAAAGTGATGAGACACCAATAAGTGATGAAGACTGGGAAAAATTACGTGAAAAATCTGATATATGTAAGTCTTAATTATATTCATTAGAAATTATTTCTCATATTATTACATCGCCCTATACATGGTATATTTTTACACTTTATTTGATAATGAATGATAATGAACGGTTAATAAAGGCTTTAGGTGGAGTTCCAAGAAATCCGTTCTTGTCTTCCAGGTTCGAAACCACCTTGCCCAAAGCTACATTCACAGACCCTGGTAAAGGATGAGCAGGAGAAATAGCTTATGATATTCATGTGGTTACAGATTATTCATTACTAACCTGCTTCAGTTGTCACTTCAGGTTTATAATTTACATCCATTCTAGTGGTTTGATGGCAATTATAATTATGGCTTAGACAATCATGAGTAGAGTATATGAGTAAGCAATCATGTCTATCACTACTGGTGTATTAGGATTAATTTCCCACCGCAGTCTGACGCATTACTTACAATTAAAGTGAAAACTAGTCAGCTGTGATGCACCATTACATAACTTTCCACAGTCAACGTATAAACATTTCCTTGGGAATGACAAACATGTTGCACTCCCACACTTTTCACCAAATAGAAGTATTGTCTAGTCCTAAATGCCAACTGAATTCTGATGACTAGTTATGCAATCTGTTCAAATCTCTAGGCATTTAGGCATTGTATTCCACTTTGTTTCAGTTAGATGATCGATAGGAAACTGTTGACTTCAGTTGTATAATTCTTGACAATCATTAGTAAACAGTTTCTGTATCCCAGAGAAAATTGATGTTGTCTTGCAAATCGGATCACACACTAACCAGTGATACAGTCAGAAATATAACCAGTGACCTATTGGTACTTTAACCTACTTCCTATAGAAATAGATACGATACACTGGCTTGTCACTACGACATAGGAAATACTGAATGTACCTTTTTAGTGAGTGGCAACAAACATTAAACTCAGGTTTATTACTTCCTCTTTAACTGCTTCCACTCATCAAACATTGAAATATATATTTATGTATTCTAAGATGAATTGGGACTTTAATTTTGTGGTAGTATTCATCGTGGACTGACATGAGTTAGAGAACCATTGAAAACCTGAAAGCATTGGACAGCTGTTTCGTCCTAGCACGACATTTCTTGGCAGTACACACTCACGACCACGCCATTGAGCAAAATCAGGACCTTCAGGTTTCGCGGAGAGCACGTTACCACTGAGCCACTAGGTTGGAGTTAAATAGTTCACAGTTTCCTGCTTACGCCGATTCACGATATAGCGTGACTATCCACCAAGGTTTTCAGCTGGACTTCGCTTCGCTTCCCACTGGTCAATTCCATAGGATGCCAACTGAAGATCTTGGTGGATAGTCACACTATAGCGGTCACTGGCGTGGTCGTGGGTGTGTACTGCTGAAGAGTTCCATGCTAGGACGAAACTAATTTATGTTTGTATTTCACCTTTGGTTATTTATGAAATTTGGAAATAAGTAAATGACATCAGTTTTTTTAGCATAACAATCAATTTATTAAACCAGTCAAATGCTCTACTGGTATAAACAGGTGATAATTAAGTGTATAAATTTCTTTCTAAGTTTTATGTATAAACCTGACTTTGCAATTCGTATTTTACTATCAATACAAAGAAAACACAATCATTTGCTTGGTTTGTAGAACTATTTTCTAAGTGGTTTGCATTACAGACTTGTGTCAGTGGGAGAACCATTAAAAACTACTCGGCAATGCAGATTTGCCTTTTCTAAAGACTGCTCATCGGTTCACTTACGGTGACTGAACTGCTACATTTTACACATAAAAATCAGTAGTCCTGGGGTAAATCATATACTAATTAGAAATCACACAATGCAGGGGAGTCACAAATTATGATAATTTAACAATTTTGTTCTCCTTCACTGTCAGTGGTTCTCAAGTTGATGTCAATCCAAGCTGAAGTAAATGACCTAGAGAATGAAGTCCCCGTAGTGAATGGTTCATTGTAAAAATTTACATCAATTTAAGTTATAAAAGGTTTTAAATGTAAAAAAATCCCAATAAACGATAGTATTCTCACTGAAACTGAAAGCCAGCATATATTGCTTAAAATTCTAAAGTGTAATTCACTAGGTTACTAAGTTACAATGGCCACTCTTTATGCAATGGGTGAAACTTGATATCAAAACTTGTTATTTCTCGTTGTTGACTGTTTTGGATGAAACTGAAAAGAACCAGCAGGCTCCAAACAGCACAAACTACTAAAACTGTAGCTATTCGTTTCGATGAACCTGAGTTGTGTGCTAAAACACAGATCCAGTCTTTACTGCTATCTTGGTCTGACGTAGGAATAGCAAGTTCCAAAGCACCCTATGCATTGAAACCTTTCGATTCCGAACTTTTGTACCCAACATATCATATCACTCACCAAAATCTCTAACAACTTTACACCCAACATATGTCTATAAGACATATCATCATTGAACAAGACCGTGACTCTTCTGTTACAAAGGACTCTGCTTCTGAAGTTGCCTATGCAAGGGAAATAAATCTTCTGAAGGTCCTAGCGTCTTCGAATTCTTTGTGTCTGAGACTTTAGCCATCCAGCTGGAAAATCTTGGTCATTCTGTACAAAAGAAGTGTCCTTGTTAGGAGAGTAAAACTTGTGCACTGTTGTAAAATGCAATTTTTATTGATTTATTAGATTTATCACACAGTGTAATAGTATTGTTTACTAGATTACGTTTCGGACATAATTTATTGTCTATAGTCATATCAAGATAACTAAACAACTTTGAGACATCCTTTATATAGTCCTAATTTTCTCGTCTCTTTGTGAGGTGGGCAGTAAGGTTTTTCGTATATCCGGAACAGGTGCTGAGTCATTCCTGTTGCATGTGTTAGGTGTTGATTCGATAAACAAAGATTCAGTTATCGATCTCTCCCTCCACCCTGTTATGTTAGTTTTGAGAATTTTCACCTTGTCCCATCCTATTGTGTGGTTGTGTGTAATTGCATGCATAGCTACGGTTGAGCTTTTTTCTAAATTCCTTACCTTACTAGGATCTACCAATTTTGACCTAGCTAAGTTTTTGTGTCTCAATAGCCTAATTGAACCTGGTCGACTACTTTGACCTATGTATTTGACCTCACAATCGTTGCAAGGGATTTGGCAAAATAAGTTATTCTGCTTAACTGGGTCAATAGGATCTTTCAACCTACAAAGCTTATTTCGAAGCGAGTTTGTAGGTTTAAATGCCACTCTAATCCCAGACCTATTGAGAATCCTACGTAGTGTTTCCGAGGTGCCTTCTTTGTATAGTGATACTGTGGAGGTTTTGAATTCTCTATCCACAGTACTGCTGCTAATATTATTAACATCATTATTCCTTTTTTGTTGTTATTACTACTACTATTACTACTATTGATAACTGTGTTACTGATATTTTTCTTATAATTCCTAAGGAGTTTATCAATTAATCTGGGAGGGTAATTGTATCTAGTTTCTTGTTTTAGATTTGTTTTACTAGTAAGTTTTTTGGCCCTGTTACTTAGACATTTCACCAAGCCAACTTTAACTGACATAGGGTGAGACGATTTGAAGTCTAAGTAACGGTTTGAATGTGAAGGTTTTCTGTAGACACTAGTGTCAAAACTCCCATCTTGTTTCCTTTTATTCGGCAATCCAACACCGCTAATTCTCTTTCACTATTTTCTAAGTCATAGGTGAATTGGATTGCGTTAACTACTGAATTTATACGTGTGAAGAAACTATGTATGTGTTGCGATTTCAACACTATAAATGTGTCGTCTACATAGAGAAACCATATATTTGGAGCCGGATAAAACCTACAAACTCACTTCGAAATAAGCTTTGTAGGTTGAAAGATCCTATTGACCCAGTTAAGCAGAATAACTTATTTTGCCAAATCCCTTGCAACGATTGTGAGGTCAAATACATAGGTCAAAGTAGTCGACCAGGTTCAATTAGGCTATTGAGACACAAAAACTTAGCTAGGTCAAAATTGGTAGATCCTAGTAAGGTAAGGAATTTAGAAAAAAGCTCAACCGTAGCTATGCATGCAATTACACACAACCACACAATAGGATGGGACAAGGTGAAAATTCTCAAAACTAACATAACAGGGTGGAGGGAGAGATCGATAACTGAATCTTTGTTTATCGAATCAACACCTAACACATGCAACAGGAATGACTCAGCACCTGTTCCGGATATACGAAAAACCTTACTGCCCACCTCACAAGAGACGAGAAAATTAGGACTATATAAAGGATGTCTCAAAGTTGTTTAGTTATCTTGATATGACTATAGACAATAAATTATGTCCGAAACGTAATCCAGTAAACAACACTGTTACACTGTGATAAATCTAATGAATCGATAAAAATGAAAGAAGCTTCCCTGGTTCTTTTTCTCATTGTTTTAGTTTGGAGTTAGCATTTTAAATAGGTAAGTTCTTAATCTAATTTCAGCGTCTTTGGAAAATTAAAGATTTTTCAGGATGTTTTTTTTGTGTGTACCACATCTCCTTCAGCAGAATGCATCAAAATGTATACTGTTTGTTAGTTTGCTTTGAGATAGGTCATTTTTTTTGTTTCTAACCACTTCTTATGCAATTTCTGTTCATTTACTTTTCGTATACTTTTCTAACTATATCGAATCTCTTATCATGTTGCACAACGCCTTATCTGACTGAACTTTATCACACTTCTGCCACATTTTGGATTAATCTTAACTATACAAAACAGCTTTGGTAGTTATTTAACTTGTTAGTATGTTCATTCTAAGTCAGACATACTTATTCACCTGCATTTTTAGCAGAGAAAAGTAAGTGATTGATTTGAGCAGTTCTCTATTGTAAAGATCTTGCTTAATGTTGGAATACATTTTATTCGTTTAACCAAACAATATGGTTATATAAATATAGGATCTGAGAAGTTGGTTGGAAAAATTCTTTTTTCAGTTAACCGTTTTTCACTCAGATTATCAATACAAAAAATATTACAAATGGTTCAAATTAATTTTTCTGAACGCAT